GGGGGGGGGGGGGGGCAGCCGAGAGGGTTGGGAGCGGCAGCGGCGAGCGAAGAGGGAAGAGGGGTGGGGGCTGAGGCGTGGGGCTGGTGGGAGAGGACCGTGTCATCTAGCCAAGGGATGAAAACTGCCCTGTTACCCAGCAAGATGGGACTACAATACTGACGTGAACAGCACCCCCTGATTGTTCCGCCAACAAATTATGCAGTGGGATGAAAGGGACGGCCCATGTCCCTGGCTCACCCATAGGTGTCGTAGGGCTCGGGCTCAACGCAATCCAGAAACCTGGGAGCAGTGGGGGTTGGCCGGCGAGCCATGGTTGGGTCAACAGTCAGTGGCTGTCAACACCATGGGTTTTTGGCTGCAGGACCTGCGTTGAGCTTGTCTTACAGGCATGGGCTGTAGACAAGTGCCCTGTGTTGCTGCCAGTCTACTAGCAGAAACTACACTTGGCCGCGGGGTCCGTTAAAAAAAAGGAATGCCAGGCTGCTGCAATTGGCTGCCACAGGCGCGTGCATGCGCAGGGAGCAGATTGCGAGCCAACAGCAAGCAGCACCGTCGCGCTGCGCCACCCACTCGTTGAAGGGGCTGAGCCGGATGCCAACGCGCTCCGCGCCCACCGCCTCGGTCACCGCGTCCACCACCTCAAACAGCAGCCTGGTGAGCGGGGGTGGGGAGGCTGCAGTGTCAAGAGGGTGCAGAAGGTGTCTTACAACAGAGGATGCTTACCAAAAGGGAACATGGGATAGATGCCAACAGTGATTTGAGAGCAATGATTCCAGACAGGACAGCAAGGCTTCGCTCGCCGGTCGCCTGACGGGTGTAAGTCAGACTGCGCAGAAGGCAGAGATGTCCGCGCTGTGTCTTGCAGCCGCACCTGGCCCTGTTCTCGAGTGTTCCGCCGTACTTATCAGTGCGCTGGTTGGTGATGCTCGAGATGAACTGGGCCAGCAGGTAGCCGTTGGCCGCATGGATCTTGTGGTGAACATAGAAGGTGTGTTGGTGTGTTGGTGAGTGGCTGTGTGTGGACTTGTGTGTGGCTGTGTGTGTAGGAGGTGGGGCCGACAATTGCAGGGTGCGGGGACTGTTTGCCTCAACGACAGCAGGCTCGCCCCTGCTGGCGTTGGCGGACAATGGTGGGGAGACATCTTAGCAGGGGTGGTAGCTGCGGACTAGTCCGCACCTCAACCCCGTCGAAGCCAGCGGCGATGGCGTTCTTGGCGCCCTGGGCATAGGCCTTCACAATGTCGGAGATCTCGGACTCAGTCAGGGCGCGCGGCACCGGGTACTTGTAAGGGCCGCCCTGTATGCAGGGAGTGGGATTGAGAGGTGCGTAAAGGAACCGGAAGAGTGTGTGCGTGCGTGCATGCGCGTGTGTGTGTGCATGCGTGTTTGTCTGTGTGTGTGTGTGTGTGTGTGTGTGTGTGTGTGTCGCGCGTGTGGCAGAGCACAGGAATGTGTGTGTGTGTGTGTGTGTGTCGCGCGTGTGGCAGAGCACAGGAATGTGTG